TATGGAATTGTATTAATTTTTATTTACCGATTTGTTCAAGAATTATGTTATCTTTCTTTTCTTTAGTTCAACTAATAACCTATGACCTAAGCAACAATTCATTTTTCCTTATACCTATATACACACAACCAGAGTTGGGCAAAATTTTATCTAGATAATTATTCGAATAAATCTGTATTCGAATAAAAAACTATTCGAATGTTTTTTTTACAATTATTCGAATAAAAATGTATTCGAATAATTTTCAACTAAGATTATTCGAATAAAAAACTATTCGAATAATTTTCATCTATGATTATTCGAATAAATTTTAAAGACGGTTATACGAATAATTCTTAGTTATTTAATTTGATTAAACATATGTACCTAGTTCATAATAAAATAATTTTTTTAGATATTGCTATTATTGATCTATTAGGATTGTTGTAATAATTGTTATGAAATATTACCATTAAATATTATTCATATTATAATATTATAAAACTATTGTTAAAATATAATTTAAAAAAACATATCTAATTTTCTAATTCTTAACTTTCTTCTATTGATAGATATTTGTTTATTGTTTATTCGAATATCTATGTTTAAAATTGAATCGGTTAATTTTTTATTCGAATAACAATAGTTGAAAATTATTCGAATACATTTTTATTTGAATAATTGTAAAAAAAAAATATTCGAATGATTTTTTATTCGAATAATAATAGTTGAAAATTAATCGAATAAATTTTTATTCGAATTATTGTAAAAAAAATTATTCGAATAAATTTTAATTCGAATAATTGTAAAAAAATCATTCGAATAATAATTTATTCGAATAAAATGTTATCTAAATAATCATCTAGATAAAATTTCATTCGAATAACGCCCAACTCTGCACACAACACACACAATTTCTTATACATATACAATGCATTTAATGTAATTAATAAATTAGGTCAGTTAGAAAGTAGTCTTAAGTTAAAGGATTATCAGCTTTGTCTGATAAAATATTTTAATAAACATTGGTATTTTATTATTTTCCTGTACTAATTCTTGGTACACGATGTTTTTCACTACAAGTAGTGCTAAAATCTAAATGTTCTCAGGTGATCTTATTCACTAACCATAATAATATGTTCAATTGTTACGCTTGGATGACGAATCATGTACAGATAAATTGAAATCCTTCCAATGTTAATGATATGTGTAATGCTACCCTTGTAATATTATATTATATTATATCTTATTAACTCATTTTTGATATGTAAACATCTATGCTATCGGTTTGTAGTACGACCTTCTTGGGGAATCGAGCGTCAGGCGTAAGTCATGTAGATGTGACTGCTTGAATTTGTGTGTGTGTGTCGTCGCCATAGCGCTAAAATCGCAGAACCAATAAACCAGGCGAGTTGCTTATCTATTATTTTCTTTCTTATTTTCACGAGTCTGGTAGGTGCGAACGCGCTCTGGTACAATCGTCGGCCGATTCATTATTATTATTATTAATATTATTTATTATTATCGTTTACGTATACGCGCGAAACCGTGTTTGTATCGTATAATATGTATTATACAAATTCCCACTCAAACCATGCCATTATATTCCCCAATCAAAGTCTTACTACAGCTAAGATGTTTACACATCATTCGTGAGTACAAAGGCACTCACATTTTCGTATACAATGATATGATATCATTGAATTCAAATTTAAAACAACCAACTTGTAACCTACTGCGCAGCAGAGCGACATCCACTTACCCGCTTTTTTTTCTAATTGCCACTGACAAATGTATTTTTGTTTCTATTGATCTACCTATAGCTTTCATTTTTCTTCCATATTTTCCAATCTCACTCAACGTTCCACCATCTATTTATAAAGATCTGAGAGCTTGTAGTCGCTCACAGTTCGTCTCAAATGTTTCTTCACTTTTCTCCTAAGTCGGGTAGTATTTGATATAATAGATACATCGTATTGATATGATTATGTATATTAATCTGACTTGGACAGTAAGTACCTAATCTTTCCAACCACTGAGTAGTGATGATTTCCACTTCGCTCACTATAGTCACGATAAAAAACATTTAATAGGCACTGAACGGAAAAAGGTAAATTTCCAATGCTACGACTGGCATTGAAAATTAAACTTTCAGTGCATGTGTGACAACAACATTATTATTGCCACTTACTTTGTTCTGTAGCGCAATAAGTAAAAAGACTGTTGGTTCTCTGAATTTAAATTCAATTTTTAAAATATATTTAACATCTATTTATTTTAATAGATAACATAATTATTTATTTAAAATAAACCATTAGAAAACTATTTGTTTTTATCTATTTGATAAAATAATAACAAACATTATAACGTTAGTATGATATTAACCTTACATCATACGCTGCCAGACTGTCAACCACAGTAAGCTGAGAAGGAAGATTGATAATATTTTTTGTTTCGACAAGGTTTTAAATTTAAATAAAAAGGTTAACTATTTTAATTAATGTTTTACACTATGTTTAACACAACACACCAACGTCATCATACGTTAATTATACTACCATTAACCGAATAAAAACACTATAACAAGTCACAAAAACAAAAATATATATAAAAAATCATTGGATATCACACGTGCAGTATATTGCGATGCAAAATATTGTGATCCCCCTATGAATTTTTTTTCAATATTTATAATAATTTATAATAAAGTATAAAGTGCAATATTGTAAAATGGGGGAAAAATGTCCTGATCAAAAATATATAGGGGGGAAAAAATCCTACTACACCGAAAAAAGTCAGGGGGGAATGTCTGTGATTGAGTCAGTATACCTAAGTTATAAATAAAGTTTGTATTTACCATAATTTTATAAATTGATATTAGACACAACCATAAATTATATTTTTAATGATAAAATAATGCATAATATGTTAAACAATCAGCCTTCCCCCCATGACAAAATCATTTTACTGCCACTGTACAGTCATAACTAAGAAACGAAATTTTCACCACACAAAAAGGAGAACTTTAACTGTGCAATATCATTTTAATTTTTTTTTTTTGATATCACTTATACGAAAAAAGTTCTTATTGCTTCAAAATCCATTATTGTTTGTACTTTTAAGACTTAAATAACTTTTTTTAAAGTTCCGACATCGAAAAAATAAAAAAGATATTGCGCAGCCAAAATTCTCCTTTTGATGTGGTGAAAATGTTGTTTCTTAGTTATGACTGTTGTCTTCTCAGTATTTTCCTACGCCAAAACAGTTTTTGCTATGTTTTACATTTTGTAAGACGAAGACAGCATAATATGCGAGTTCTTAACTAGAACTCCTTGAACTCGAAATCGTCGATACCCCCAACTTTTTCCAGGGTCCCCATAATTTCCAATAATTGTATTATCCTTGGATAACTCGAATTCTGAATAACTTAAACTTTCTGCCCGGTCCATTTAACTTCGAGTTAATCACGTTCGGATGTATTTCTATCTAAAGTCTTAAAATATAGTACAACATTTTAGATTTTGTGCGGAGTGATGCGCATGTATTGCCGTATTGGTTTTACAACGATGTGTTTTTATATCATTCTGTTTCTTTATATTTTTGTGTCTGTCATGACCTTTTGGATCAGTAAAATTGCTTTAATATTTCAATTTCCGACGCAAGGTCAAAACTATAAATTCTCTGTACTATTCTTAATAAAAAAGTAAAATAAAAAAAAATACTAAAAAAAACGAGAGTTCTCATTAAGAACCAATTTTTGACTAAATAGATTTTTGTTGTTCTTCAAAAACGAATGACTGTTTCTGTAGAGCTTACAGTGTCGACACTTGAACTTTTTCACCAAATAATTATATCAGCATTTTTTATACATGATATAATTTTCAAAGTATGTGGGCTCCTTTTGTAATATTTATATACATTTTAAATTCAATTTTACTGTTTATAAATGATAACATCTTTGTTCTTATATATAAAAAAAAATTAAACGTTTAAAATATATTAATATAATAATAAAAAAAATCAAAAAAAATCTTAGATACATAGAAACAACAATTTTAAGCTTCTAAAGTTCAAATGTATTCGAAGATCACCAAAATTATGAAAATATGTAAATTATATTGTACAGTTAAAAATGCAAACATAAATATTAAATACATAATATTAATCGCATTAATAAATTATTAAATTATAAATTATTAAATTGATCGGTTTTGTTTTTATCTCATATTTTTGTAAACCAAATTCATCAAATTTAAAAGTCATTAAATTAATTCCTTATGATACCTAATGCTGCTGCTTAGTCCAAGGGGACTGTACAACAATAGTCAATAGTCAACATTAAAAATAATTTATCATCAATGAAAAGTATGTAAGCAAGTAAAGGAATTCCAAATGTCTACTTATGAACTATTATAAATCGGTTATTAATTAGTATATTTCTGTTTTGATGCACTTGGATAACTTATTTGTCTCTCTTTCTCACCATTATAGTAATATTACAAAATAATTATTTGCATACACACAAAACATTTTAATATCAAACATTTATATAACTATAGGTACCTATATAAAGTTTCCTAAGTTGCATGGATTTTTATATTAACATGAATTACTTAAAACAACTTTTCATTACAAAACAGCTTGTTTTCAATTTACCATGCATTATGCATTATATAAGTTATATTTTTATGTAAAAACTTAAACAATATTGATAATAAATTAATATTATTAATCATAACCTTGAAATCCGTAATCATAATAATATAAAAAAAGACATTATTATAATTTATGTATTTAAATTAATAATTTACTCTTTTATACGTCGTGATGTAATTACATCTTATTTTTGATATTTATACATAATAAATTATACCTATTTACAGAAATTGTATTTCAAACACTGAACATATTTACATGTAAGTAATGTTTTGTAAAAATAGAGCTTTTCATAATATTGTATAAATATTTTAGACTCGTTCAAACTATCTATTACAACGATTATGATGTGCTCTTTTTAATACTTAATTCGATTTTACCGTTTTCGGGGTTTTGGTGTATGTTTTTTTGTAAAACAACGAGAACAGGTATAGAAAGAGTGTTACATTCGCAAACATGTAATAAATATAAACTTTCGGATAATCGCAATTAAAACACACTAGTCCTATGTACCAGAGTAAAACAATTACAAATTGAATCTGAAAAACCAATTAAAAATGTAATTAGTAACCGTAATAATATTATTTTATGTAAACGTGTATAGTATTTTAGTTTACTAAATACTTACAATTTGCATTCTTGTCAAATATCTCTTCCACCATAAATAAGGTTGCATTTGTGGGCCCAAGGCCGCTAGGAAGTAATAGAAGTACATGATAGTGTGGATAAATGAATTGATTCCTCCGGGTAATGTCGCTTGTTCACCTGAAAATAATAATATTAATAATATTATAGATAGGTGCCAAGCAATTCAAGGAAGTTTATTTTCTGAAACTGATATTGATATGCGTAGATTCAATCATTTAAATGTAATACATTCAAGTAGGTACGTATTTATTCATGGTATTTAGTTACATTTGTGTAGGTAACTTTATAATACTACGTAGTTGATTCATAGCATTGAGCATATATTTAAAGTACCACCTATCTATACTCAATTTTCATAGTTATATTAATTTATCATTCACTAATTGCTTATTGTTTAAGAGTATTTTACTTGAGATGATTCAGTTAGTTTTTATATTTTATATCAGTCAGTATTTTCCTTGAATTAATAATTGCCAATTAATTATTATTAATTCTTATAAAATATTATATTATTTATAATATAATAAAAATAATATTTATATTTTATTTTATTATAAATAGGTATTTCAAAGTATTAATAATACTTTTAATAAGGAATGTTAGATATCTACAGTATATTATTATTTGGAAGGTACCATAAATATTTTTTATGTCAAGATAATGCCTTTTGGTGGTTTATTTTAATCTGTCTTTCACGTACAATTCATACATGAATAAACACATTTAAGGAGATAAAAATACAGAATGAAAATAATTACATCTTTGAGTCATACGTTCATGGAATCGTGACTTATTTTTTTTCTAAGAATGTATTGATAAAAAAGCTCTGATGTTTTAGGTAAAGTAAATAAAAATACCACTTATGAAGTCGTCAAGTGAATTTTTTTTTTTATAACTTATAGAACACACTTTCTTTTTTGAACATTAGTTTTAATTCAATTTTGTCCCACGACATTAACCGATGAAATACATCCGTGGCGCTATCTATTAGTTTTTGGTCACGACATTTTAAAATAAGAATTTTTATTAGCACCAATTCACCACCCGGGCGGAGTCGGGTAATACAGAATGCATAATATTATATAATTAAAAATAACGCAACAGAATACCCTCATAAATAATGAATTCATTAATTTTTGTAAAATCAATGATTTAATTCTCAATCAATTTTCAATTACTTCTTCAAAAACACACAAACGTTTTTGTTATATTTTATGTTAGATACAAGAAATATAATAGACATTTTGATGTAGCGTCCTCTTAATATATTTGCTTAAAATTATTAATTCTTTGAAAATGCTTAATTTAATATTATTTTAAAAAGAAACTCTATAAATTAAACTTTACAGTAATGGAATAATTATTGTAAGTACCTGCGTATGTCAAATATATTTTGAAAGTTTTTTTTAAATCTCTATCGGTTAGGCATACTTTATGGGCGTATACGAATTTGTTCATATTTTTTTCTCCACCACAATAAAAAAATCGGTTTTTTACTGGTTATACTTAATGATAAATAAGTGTCAAATATAATGTTAGGTGTATAGAGTTTATTTTTATCATAGCTCAAAGTTATCATAGACAATAGACCTGAGTATTAGTTCAATTAAATGATAATAAAATACAAAATATTGTGAAGTTTTACCTTTGATGAACCTCAAATATGCCCAACACGTGATGACCATATTTGAATGATGGTATACATGTAAAAATGTAACTTGGGACTGTTTTTTTCTTAAAACGAAGAATATCTGTAACACAAAATATAAACATTTAAGACATTAAATAGAAATTTGTATTTACGTATGTTAATACTGTTTTCGTTATGTTATATTTTATAGATTGTATTTTTTTTTTTGATGAAATGCTAATATTATCGAATAGTGAAAATTATTCAATAGTGTAAAACCAATTATTGAATAGTATAAAATACAGTGCCGCATTCAGTCATTTGTACAAATAAAAATTGGAGCCCCCAAGCCCCCTTATGGCCCTAAAGACGGAAAATATGGAGATCCTCATTAACCTTTTAGGTTTTGAGCACAGAAAAGAATATTTGTTTTACAATGTGTGCTTTTTTTAAAAATATTGTTTAGTTATTGCTTGATCCTCTTTCTGCAAAGATACATTTGAATTTATGTCACTTAACTTTGCTTATAATTTATCATATAAGTTGTTTTTTTAATATATTTAAGTATGTACTTCATGAATAAATAAAATAAAATTATATAAAACTATGCAAATTAATATTAATTAAAACAATTTCAAACAGCATAATACTATTATACTAAATTATATTATATACCTAATACTGTTATTAAAATAATTAAAATTATAAAATTTTTATAATTCACAAGTAAACAAATTTCTGACCATAAAATGTTGGTGCCCCTAAAATACTGGCGCCCGGGGCAGTTGTACCCAGCGCCCCCCTAAATGTGGCCCTAATAAAATACAACATACTAATATATTTAGGGGATAATAAGAAGACCTGACAATTGAAATAACTTTTGTTCTAATCAATATTTTATATCAATTTTTTGATAATATATTTTTTACCCTTAAGTGTAAGATTTTAATTTTATTTTTTTTAAATGAACAAAAAACAATTTAAAATATAACTAATTTGAAAATCTGGTTTTTAACAATTGTTGACCTTAAAAATCATTTATTTAAAATCATGTAGTTTAATTGTACAATTATTTAAAATCTCAATATTTTTGTTAGTTAAAGTTTATCCAGACGTAAAAAAACATTTTAGTTCAAAAAATATAGACTTTTAAAAATATATTATGAGCATTTTTAAACAGGAACTTGTTAAAATCTAAATATTTTTTAAATAGTTTTGTTTTAAAATGAATGAACCTGACTATATAAAATGTTGATACTTTAAAAAAACATACGAAATAAATCACACGACTTAAATAAATGTTTTTACAAATAAAATTTTTTGAAAACTAGATTTACAAATTGAATATTTTTAAATTTACAAAAAAAATTGGAATCAGTTTTTAATATTTTTATTTTCAGTATTAAAAAATAAAAATAAAAAATTGTATGCTCAAGCGTACGTAAATTGTATAAAAAAAACGCTTGCCAAATCAGGGATCGACATGTAAACTTTCTTAATTTTTAATTTTTAGAAATGTATTAACTGAAAAACCCTTAGCGGTTGGTATAACAATTTTAATCCAGAAAAATATCGGTGTGAACACTGAACAGCCCTACAAAAAATAGTTATCATTTTCATTTAGTGAGATAGATCTCCGAAACCGAAGAGCAGATTTCATTGTTTGGGGTCTTGTTAGATTCACATTGGTTAGGAGAAGTGCAGTGAAGATTTTCAGAACTTTATCTTTAATAGCTAATTCATTAAAGAACATTAAAAAAAATTAAACAAATTTTATTGGGTGTTTTTTGATGTTTATCAGCTTTACAGATTTGTAATGAATTAACGATTGGAGATAAAATTCTGAAAATCTTCACTACACTTCTCCTAATCAATTTGAATCTAATAAGACCCCAAACAACAAAATCCGTTTTCCAGTTTCGGAAATCTACCTCGCTAAATGAAAATCTATCAAAAAATAACTCTTTTTTTATCTGTGAAAAATATAATGATTTTTTAAAAACTTAAAAAAATTGTATTCCACATTTAGTATCTATTTGATAATCCCTTTTTAATGAGCTATCGACCAACTTTCTAGCTATCATAGTTTAGGATAAAAGTTAAAAATAGAAATTTTGAGACTGTTCACGCCGACGTTTTTATGGATGCAAGTGGTTATAACGTTTGGGCGTGATATCAAATCTATCTAATTAATATCTTATATTAAAGCTGGCTAAATTACCCACCTGATCATCATTACCAAGTTACATATTTACTAATTTCCTATTTAACACAAATTCTTGAAGTTTTCAAAATGCAGACTTTTTTCATTTCAATAACCATACTTATTTCATTAAAAATCAAGAAAGTAATAATCAAAAATTTGATTAGAACACAATTTATAAAGGTTGTATCAGGTTTCCCAGTTACAATGTCTTATATACAATTATGTATAATTTATTAATTCTTGTCCTTCGGTACAACTTAAAATTACAAATATATATGGATAATTACTAATTAGGTTAGATAGTACTTGTATAAAAATGAAAAAAATTATATTATAATAACAAATTGTTGTACATTTTTAGTTACTACTTGTTGTTACATGTTATCGTTTGGTGGCATTTAGTGGAAAATTATTTTTTTAGTACACAAACATCGACCGGTTTAACATTGCCATTTTCCTGGTTGATTAATTAGTAATTATATATATTTATTTATAATTTAAGTTTCTAAGGACAATAAATTAAAAATATTTCAAATACCTACGTATTTTCCATATAGGAATTTTAATTATATGTCTAAACGGATAGTAAAATCGCACATAAAAATTAAATTATTTGACTATTTTCCTAATCATTTAATAAATTACATAATTTGACTATTATGCCTACGGGCTACGACGTGTACATAATCAGCATAACATGCCATATTATTTGGCTAAATATGTACATACTATCAACATTATTACAATCATATTTAAATAATAATTGTGATAAAATGATCATATCCTCACCGTATCCAGTAAATCGATGACTTTGGAGATGAAAAAGTACCACGATCCTTTATTCAACTGAAAAATACAACATGAAAATAATAAATAATGGGCTATATAATTAATTAGATACCTACTTAATAGGCCAATTTATGAATAACTAGCATTCATATTATTATAAAATATGGCACATAATATTCTAATTTTTTTTTTCATAAATTATACAACAGTATATTAAGCATTATAGTGAAATATTACAGGGAATTATCAGCTTAAGAAAATTTAGCATAAATAAAAAAATTGCTTAGGCCTCGATTGTTTAATGTTAGAAATTAAGTTTTTATACACATACCTACTCAGAATAAGGATACCAAAAAGTCCTACGGCCATATTTTGAGAAGATAGGAACTAGTATTTTGCTAAACATGTGGAAAACTTTAGTAAAGCACCTTCATGACGGGGATTCATCGATTCCGCCAGACCTATATTCTATACTACCTAGTAGAAAAGGTACGATGATTAGGTTAATATAAGTTCTATAATAATATTAATAAAAAAAATTTAATTTACATTTGATATACCTTCATAAGTTTCCCCTTGAATACTATATATATATATGAAAATTATCAAATATATTATTATATTTTATATTGGTTAATATATTAGTTAGATAATTAAGTCAAATGTATGACTAGTGGTAACAATTGGTAGATGGCGGAATCGATGATTTTTAGACTATACCTATACTGAAGTTGATATTGGTTGAATCGATTATTCTTAATACAGCTGAAATCAAGCCGAACAAATTACGGATGACTTAGATGATGAGTACTAACCAAAACAATTAATATGTACAACTTTATTTAGACACTACACTGTATAATCTTTCGTATCATTAATTCATTATTGTTTTTGTAATCTAATAACCTTAGCAGTTGAAGCTGTAACACGAATAAAAAAATAAAAATATTAACATTTAACCGTTGGTAAAATATTATTTAAAACATCAAATTATATATAGAAAATAGTGTAATTTATTTATTTACTATTGAATAACAAGAGATTAATTCGAAATCACGATGATACTAGTAAAAACTTAATACAACCTAAGAGTCTTAAGTTTTAATTCCTTATTGTTTCAAAACCTAGGTACTTCAGATTTGCGTATAATTTTGGAAATACATTAGTCAGATTAAAATTGCCTACCTACCATGCACTCAGGCACCTCTTTTCCATTGGCCACTTGGGGCACGTGCCCAGGGATCTGTGATCGAGGGGGTCCCCTAGCTGTTTGCCTGTTTTAATAAGATAGTACTCTGGTCAAGTTGTAGGGGCCCCATTATGTTACTTCCCAGGGCCTAAAAAAGGTTAATGTACTTATTATAGTTAGTACATAACATTACAATTTAATTAAATATTGATATATTATATAATGTTATACCTAATTTTTAAATTTGGGTAGTAGTGACATGCTTACATGACGTTAATAATATATTATTAACTATAATTATAACTAATGTGATACCTAGTTTTATATGTGCATATATATACATAATCATTTAGTGTTTAAAAAAGTATTCTTAGTTTAAAATTAACATAATATAATGAAATATTCAGCAGCTTTACAATATTATTATTACCTCATATAATAAGAATGTATTTTTGCTTCTTTCAATTGGATGACATGAATGATTCCACATGCTAGACAATCCTCCAGGTGTAAAAAATAACTAAAAAAAATTCATAAAAAATATAATGCTATATTAATTCAACTGTTAGATATTAGTTTTAAGTAAAATAGTTCAAATAATTTAAGAGCTTTAAATATCTTGATAATATTATTCATATTATAAGACTATGACAAAATTAAACCATATCACATATTATCAGAGGTTAAGGTTCGCATTAAACTAGCTATGTATGAATGTATTTCCATAAATACTGAGATATAGTTAGTGGTAGAATATCACATTGTTCTAAATAGTATTTTTGTTTCCTGACACTTTAAATGGTTCAACATTATAAATTAATTTGGCGATCCATAATTTCATAAAAAAATGTTGTATTATCACTTTTAGGAGAACTTTATAAATTACATTTTAATCTGAATTGACCTATTTACGTGATTTCTTCATCAATGAATGGAATATTTTTTATATGGTGACAGCTCTTTTATAAATAAGCACCATGTTTCTGAATTACGTTATAATTTTGTAAAAATGTAATTTGTTCACAGTTGGTGAAATATAATAAAACCTTTCTTCAGCTATTCAAAATGGTTTTTGTTTGGTAAATGGTTAGTAAGTTATACATAGAATGTACACCGACATTTTTAATTTAAATTTTTCAAACTCATCTTAATTTTGCATTATAAATTAATTTTATAGTCGATATTATTCGCTACAAAATGTACAAAAAAAGAAACTAAACATTTAAAATCAATCTTAATTTAGGTATTGTGCACAATGGTTAGTTGTTGAACTCATAGAGACAAGACAACTATACAATTATACACGAACACAACTATACAAATGAGAAGTGGTCACTTTTGAAACCTTTTTTAATTTTATATTTAAATAATGTTTTATAATATTTAACTTACCCAATACAGTATAAATGCATTATAAGTTGTTTGAAAAAGGTTGTAAACTAACATAATGTGTTTGAGCCGATATGGTTCGCGGTTCTTCATCATATTAGGACCGATTTTTAAAATGAACAATAAATAAACTGCTACAATAGAAAAAACTGGCAATGGTGATCGCATTAAAAACCATGAATCAACTTCATCGTCTATAAATAATAATAATTTTTAAAGTAATTGAATGAACAATTTATATAAAATTAAATGTATGTTGTTTAAATACTTATGTGGAGATTGGCTATTATAATATCAAAATAAAAATAAAATATTTGTATGAACATTTTAATATATCTAGGTAAAAAGATGTAGCCCGGTGAGGGGGCTAAGGGGGTTATATCCCCCACACTGACTGTGTTTATTTTAGCCTATATTATAATATTATATTAAAAAAATGATTTTACATGAGCCTTTTATCCTCCTCCTCTTCCCCCCCCCCATATAAAATTTCTTGCCACGCCACTTCCTAGGTCCATAAATATAAATAAGGGATTGAACCAGTCAAGTATTAATCATTTTCAATCTAAAACAGTGATTTGGTCGCTCAAGCATAATTACAAGCAAAATACATAATTTATATACAGGTATAACAGAAAGATGTTAAAAAAAAAAAAAAAAAAAATGATATTACTTAAACGTATGACAAATATTGTGAAAATTATATGGTTAATAAATAATTTAAAAAACATGTATACAGGTACTCATGTCAGGAAATTCCCAAAAAAATATTTTGAAAAAAATTATTACGTTTCAAATTAATTAATAAATACAAATCGGCTCTTTTGAATTTTTCCAAAATAATTTAAATTTTTTTACTTTCAATAGTATTAAAAATAAAGATAATTTCTTTATATTATACTTGTAGCGCAAGTGAACAAATTATTTAAAAAAAAAAAAAATTATAAATATTGATTAGAACAAAAGTTATTTTATCCGTCAGGTACTCCTTTTACACTCTGTATATTATATTATATACCATTTGAACCATTAAAGTAAACATTAATTATTTCAAATATGTTGAAGGTTTTTGAAAAAAACTATATTTTTTACAATTTTTTTTTTTATGACAACGAATTTTTAATTTCATATTACGAAGTTGAGTATTTTTCTAAGTATTTCGTTACATAAAAAGCAAACTTTGCAAGGGTAGGTAGTTAATTCGTTATTATAAATATTTAAAGTTCTGATGTGTAAAATAGTGGACCAATATTTTTCAGGATACCCTTGTGTAACTCTACTCTCCTCATGTAAACATTAAGTACATTTAAGTTATAACTAATTAATGAGTCATTCGAAATATTATTTTAATATATCAAAGTACCCCCCAAAAAAATTCTGCTTAGAAATATGACATTAAAAATATATGCTGTCATACAAAAAAGTAAAACTTTTAAAATTATAACAATTTGTAAGAAACATAGGTTTTTTTATATAATGAGTGTAGGCACTTAAATTAATCACCTTTTATATTATCATATAATTTATACAATTAACTGTATTCTGATTCAGAATAAAGAGGACCTTAAACTACCAAACCCTTATACCATAATATTTACACTTCATATTAAATTCATATTATTGATCGTCGGAAAAATTCAAATCAAAACAAACAATACACGTAATATATAATATACAGTGCAATAAAAATATCAGAAAGTTATACCAACCAAATACTAATTCTTTTTCCAATGTGTTGAAAAACTGATTTGTGGCTTCCACGATGAAGTGGCTGTCAGTTACGTTCGCCATGATCGTTATTGCTAGAATAATAAAATCAAGACAGTACGTAAGTTATGAATGCAATTGATATCCAGAACTTTAGCTGCGTTCATCCTATACTTTTGAATTAATGAATTCTAATTGCTATACATTTATTTTAAATGTGTTAGTTTTTCAATCCATTTGTTGGTTGTAAAATATTATTATCCTTGAATATGTTTTTCAAAGCCGTTCAATGTCACATGCAATACAACATGTACTGCCATCAAAAACTGGTTGGCGCCAAAAGCCTGTCATTGGTATGAACTACCCAGGAACCGGTAACCGAAGTAAGGTCGATTTGAGAAATGAATGCCCTTGTTTTTTTTATACTAACATGCCGTAATTTTATAGTTAATAATAATTATAAATTAATATAAGTAATTGTACATTATTATGATTAACACTATATTATTAATATTGAATCTATAAATAAAATAAAAAAATTATCTTTGTTTACATTATAAATAATGATTTAACTTTCTCAATTAACTGAAAATTTAAATTTAAAAAGGTGGACAAGTATATAGGTACTGCTCTTGTGCGTTAGGTGTGGTGTAATGGATGTGTTAAATTGACATAAAATCATTGTATAAGAGCGAAGACCACAGAGTGTCAGCCTGTATTACCAAATATATTGTACGATATTATTGATATTATAGTAATTTATTTTACTATTAGAAATATAGAATGTTGAATTAATTTTTGCCTAAAAAAAAAAATGCATTTGAAAAGGGTCATTATAATATTTAGTTGTGCATGTAAAATATAATAATATAGATACTTCAAATGTTTCAAATCCCCACGACTAATATTTTTAAATTTTACTATGAAAAATGTATACTATTGACCACCCATAATACATGTAAGCACTAATTTGCTACCAGGAAACTCCCTCTAAGTTGAATGTCCGAGCATTTTTCCGCTATAAAATGTATCATATAAAACACTTACTCTTATCGTTGTAAACCAATCGTTAAGAATTGGAAAGATATTTTTATAAGTATTACGTATAAATAAATTTTAAAATCAATTTATGACGAATTTGAGCTTGTAAATATAATTACAAATGTTTATAAATATATACAATTTATAATGTATTCAGTTGATAAAAATAAAAATAGTTAATTAAATAAAAAAAAATATAACAATTATGAAGCTTTATTATAAAAAAAAAAAATGTAGACAAATTAATTTAAACAATTATTGTTCACTCACTCAGGTTTGATGTCTCGTCGATGTCAATAGATGGATTTTAATCCGTTTGCCATCCGTCAATGGATGCTACGTTATAAATTTAACAAATTATATAGTTAATGTGGATCACAACCTATTGATAAGAACGGTTAACGAAGAACTGAATACATATGGTTAATCCAGACTCGATCACATTCATTTTAAATTCCCTGGTATAATCTCAGATACCTTGTGACTGAAACCAGGTTTGGGGATTCGAGGTGAACAGCACCGCAAAGGTGGGTTTTTATTTGCCGCTAGGAACAGTAAACCGGAAAACATAAACATTCACGAGTAAACAAATACTCGCACGTGAATCCTTGACAAAAAGCTGAACTCGCTGAAAAATTGAAAAATATAGATACTGCACTTCTGCATACTGTATATTATTAAAGTGCAGTTTGTTAATTAAACTAAAAGTAATTAGCTACCTAATTCGAAGTATAATGTATTGTGCCGGTTTTTTTTATGTAATATGTTACGAACAGTCTCATTTTTAACGTGGTCTCAAAACAACTTAAAAAAACCGTTTGAAATTTTTTTCACGAGGAACAACCAAAATATTTCCGGTAAATTGATAATACATTTAATTTTAAACAGGTTTTCCGTAAATTTCTTCAAATATTTAATAAATATTTCAGATATACATCATAGTATATTTACGATTAGTGAAACTACTAAAAATATGATTTACATAAAGTACCACCTATAAAAAATATTCAGCCAATGGGTCCAGCCAAACTAACATGGAACTATGTGGATACTATCTATACCACTAAACAGTCAATATAGTTTCAATGCTCGATTTACAACCCAAAATTATGTAACATTGGATTATTAGCTTATATATTATAACATTATATAGTAGTTTATTACCTAGTTATTAGTTATTACTATTATTACTCATGAATATCTACATAATAATATATCTTATTTTAATCGATTATTTTAAAGATTTATAAGCCATGTTTCTATAATATGTTCTTATGATCAGCTAAAACTAAAGATTTTGTACTCATCAACATTTTAGTAGGTACATTTTGTTAAAATAATTTTAGGTAATGTATTAATGTTTATATACGCAACGAGCTTCAATGGATAATATTATTATTGATATGATTAGTTTATGTTAGTTTAATCTTATTCATAACATAGTCAATATTTTCAAAAGCTTCAAAATTAGTTTTGGATGTTACTGAAGTTTTGAACAAGTATTGGTTGTAACGATATCATAGTAAAATATATTAACCCAAGATAAAATATATACATTTTCAAAGTTATACCATATTTATGTTGAAGATAATGCGATTAAAACTACATCATTATTATGACAATATCAACTTTTTGAGAATGATAAAATTGTCAAGTAAACTGAAATTTAAGATAAAAAGAAAATTGTTTCAGTTGACTTAAATTGTTATTCAATTTTTTAGAAGTTAAAAGTTTTGGAATTCTATTATGATATTTTTCATATATACAAACAATTCTTTGAATGTTAATAGAATTATGAAATCCCTCAAATAGTTTTCTTTTAGTATCTTGTGTGTTTGTTGGTTATAATATTGGGCGTAATAATTCTTAAGGAATTAAATAATAATTTAAAATCGTTAAAATTAGTGTAAGAATGTAGTATTTTACCATAAACTCTTCAGTCAAAATGTTTTGCTCATACTTTTAGAATTTATATGAATTATATATTATTGGAAGAATAATCATTCATACTATCGGTATGAAACTGCCATAAATTCTGAAATTAAGAAATACACACGCGGAGAAAATTGTCTGCAATCAACTGCACTGTGCATAATATTCCAATTTACATTGTTCGTAGATACGCACCACAGCGATGACTGATGAGATGACATTTTCGTAGAAGTTATCGACTAGGTCTAAGTGCTAACTTAAACAACGTTCATTGAACTATACCAAGTACCAGTTTTTGGTGTACTGTACATTTTAATAATGGACATGTAACAAGTACACTTATTGTAAATGTAAAACATACCTATAATTAGGTAGGTAACTATATAATGTATGTAAGTGTACTATTATTTCTTATAACTTATAGTTTTATTTATAAACTGGAATTCTAAAAAGCTGGTAAGTGGATGTCGCTAAGCTGTACAGTAGGGTACAAGTGGGTCATTGTTTAATGGATTGTATTAAACTTGAATTCAATGATGTGATATCATTGTATACGAAAAACTATTCTGAGCGGTGACGGTTTGTCAGTGTGTCTATTTTATATTGTAATTAATTATTATATCATGTAAGTTGAATTAATATTATAATATTATAATTTTTTATTCGTTTCTATGGTAATAAACAAAGCGTTAGAGATTAAAATCCAATTTTTAGGGGTTTTTCGTAATTTCTTGGTGGTTTTTACAGTGGCATAAAATAACTATTGATAAACTCGAAAAATGACCTCTTTAAAGTACCATCTTGTTAAAATTTGCTAAAAGATGAGGTACTGTATGTTGAAATCGAAGAACTCCTTCTGGTAGAAATTTTGTATATAGGATATAAAAATAAAAAAAAAATAAACACCATTGTAAAACCACTAGCTTTCTCGGCTCAGAATAATATATAAAATTACGAAAATCCGCTAAATATTGGATTTTAATTTCTAACGCTTTGTTTATTACCATAGAAACGAATAAAAAATTATAATATTATAATATTAATTCAACTTACATGATATTATAATAATTAATGACAATATAAAATATCTAGACAGACAAACCATCTCCGCTCAGAATCTTTTTTCTTATAAAATGATAGAATATTGAATTCGAGTTTAATACAATCCATTATACAATGACCCACTTATAAAATACTGTACAGCAGAGCGATATCCACTTACCCGCTTTTTTTATTTTCTCATGATTTTCTTATTAGTTCCTAAAAAAATATTTAAAATATTAAAATTTTAAAAATAATGACTAACCCAATACATATATATATTTATTAATTATTTTAATATAATATTTAATAATTGTTTCTAATTATGTTATAAAGTAAGCTACTTATACTTATTGCGATTCCTAATATTTTTTTTCGCATTTAAGTTTTTATATTTAACTAAACACTTTTAGTCTCTGGTAAGAATGTTATTATTATATTAAAGTTATTCTCATGATGTGGATCCGGTGAGCAGTTTAATAGTACTGAAGGTATAGGCGAGCATTCCTTACGGTTGTCTCATACTTTGGGCATTCTATTTGGATATGTTTATAATAATTATTGTGAGTTGAAATCCTTAAGTTTCATACAAAGGTATTTTTAAACCCTTAACCATTATACCTATGTGTGAAACGTACAACAACGATCGTATTTAGAGTAAATCGGGTGACAAATCCATAGTAGAATTTTATTTCGGTTTCTGTTTTTTCATTTATTTTTAGCACTGTACATTTCTCAATTGTGTTGTATTCTTGATATCATCGAATTTTGTGTTTTGTATACTTCAGTGATTTTTTTAAATTTTTCTTTGGATGGCGATTTAATCAAAATTGTTGTCTAAAAACATTTTTATTGTTTTTTTTCCTTGAGCAATTATAGTTTTGTATATAGCATAGTCGAGAGGTAGGATCATTTTCTTTTTAATGTGAATAAAGCATTAATGTTATATGAGATTTTCTCCATATTTTTTTTTTTACTTTTTCTTTTGATTATATCCAATTTAGTATTCTATATTGTTTCATTATATTTTAATATAAAATCATATTTCCATCCCGTCGTTATTAAAACAG